GTCGTGAGCTACATTAAGCCAATTTTCTTGTCCTCAGTTTCTCTTTCATCCCTCACCCGCCCCTGATCCTCACCCTGCTGAAAATATTCATCTGCGGGATGGAAGACTACCTCCTCCACACCCCTTGAGGCCTCAGTCCCTTCTACAGAAGCTGCTCGGGCGGTAGAAGAATGGGCGTGGCGTGCACTGGAAAACCCTGGTAGGTGGAAGAGAGGTGGGGGAGAGCGCATCGCGTGCCCGGTGCAGGAGCTCGATGTGGTGAAAGCGGCGTTGGATGGGCACTCGGCGGTGGCATGCGGACAGAAGGGGGAGAGGAAGGCCTGGAAAGGATATGAATATAGCATGTATGAAAAATAATCAGTTGAAGAAGGTTCAGGATGAGGAAAACCCTGTCATTTCCAGATCCCCCCTCGGTGGAGGGACTGTCCAGCACATGGCTGGGCTCTTGGAGTATCATACCCTCTACAGAACCCTGTGAATTTAACTCGGCGCAGACAAAGCCGTTTTTGGCCTCTTCCATTGACCTTCTTAAAGAATACACGTGTAGTGGCGGCAACAAACACTAGAGAGATACGGTTCCACTTGATACGACCTCCTCCCTCCTTCCGCATCTCACCCCGCGGTTCATACTGTCAGGTTTTGAACCCTCACCTTTGCAACTCGCATTCCCACCATTCCCATGACCAAAAAGGCGCCCCAGCGTGTGAAGCATCCGTGCATCTTGGATTGAGTTTCCGTCCTGAGTAGAAAGAAATTGTCCGGAAGGCAGGTGAAAATTCAGAACATGCTGGGAGGCAACCACAACTACCATTTGACGCACACTCGCCACAAGCGAGTTTAATTTGATCCAACAGCACCTCGATTCCAAGCTAAGACGGGTGTGGACGCCGTAGCCGGGGGTCAATCGTCGGTTTTTGTGAACGATTGTCGGTCTGGTGACTTGAAAATGAGGGAATACGCTTGGCATTGGATTTTTAGGGGCCTAGCAATGTTTGTGAGCAAGTCGAGGACTCGGACCTGATCGAGGAGCCCGAATCTTTGATTTTTCCGTAAGCGAGGGTTCTGTTTCTTTTTTTTTTTCAGTGACTTGATACAAGAGAAAGAAAGAGAACATCAACATGTTCGTGCCAGTATTTTATCCAAACCCATTTTCTTGGTGTTTCTTTGCTTTGGATTCTTTTTTCTACTAGCTATCGTACAACATGCATTTCCCCTCGACCTTTGGCTCTCACTAAGCTTAGCTTCCCTGTCTTGCTGGACTCCCTCTTAACGTCGCATACTGTCTACCTCGATTTATTTTGAAGTACTCAGCATATTTCATTCAAAAGAAGGATGTTCAAGCCCGTATAGACAGAAGAGACATAGTGAGTGGTGCCATCCTTGTACGCAGGGAGGAAGGACCGGAGGCTGTTGGTAAAAAGTCCGCTGTCAAAGACCTAGGCAGGAGGGAAGGAAGGGAATGAGGAAGAGAAGAAGCTCAAGATGCTGCGAGAGCGATAGAAATACCGATCCAAAAGCAAAGGAGGGCGGATAGTAAGACAAAAGGTGGAGACGAAGGGGGTGGAGGGTGGTGAAGGGAAAGCGATAGATAAGCAAGAGAAGGCGAGTAAAGGGTAACACATACTTTGAGACCGTGGGTGATAAAGGCCTGGCGCGCTGCCGTGTCATCCACCTGTGTCGGAGGGCGAGGGGGAGGGATAAGGGAAGCGAGGAGAGGGGAAGGGGAGGCAAGTGGGTGGGAGAGGCGAAGAGAGGAGGCAGCACGGAAGAACAAGTCAGAAGAATTACAAATGAAGCTCGTACAAGAGCTCTCTGACAGGGAAACATGGTGCCCTGCGCTGTCCCCTCCGCCGCCCCTTCATCCCTCCTCCCCGTGTGAGAAGCGTTTTCCCTCCTTCCTTCCTTACCGTCGACGCTTTCTCACTCCGACTCGTGGTTGTCTTCCAAAACACGTCCACGTGCTCGGAAGTGGACAAATTCTTGGCAGCCTCGACCACGTCACTGAGAGGGAGGAAAGGGGGGAGGAGGTTCCTTGTGAAGAAAAAAAAGGGGAAAAGGCTCGAAAGGAGGGAAGGGAAACCAGGGTACCCTCACAACGCACGTCTAGCCTCATCCATGCGCGCATTCCCCATGTCTTTGTACATTTACTCGCTCTCTCCCTATATATACTACTCTGCAACGTCACTCCCCTACCTGAGCACGGCTCCGCTGATCGGGCCCCACAGGCCCGCGTTGAGGAAGAGGTGCGTCGGGCGGACCGTGGCACGTAGGAAGGAGCCTGGTGAGTGAAGAGAGGGAGGGAAGGGAGGGGAATGAGTGCGAGGCGACAGGTATACGAGAGAGGAAAGGGGGCGGGTCGGCTCCTAGGATCGTAGGAGCGGGTGGAAGGAGGGCAAAAAGTGGAGAGAAACGCAAAGAAAGAAAGCCACAGAAATAAGGAGAGGAGGACGGACCTTGGAGGAGGGAGGAGACTGGCGCTTCCCAGTTGACGGGACCCTGACAGGCTCCCGGGGCGCAACCAAGAGCGTCCTGCGTGAGCGGAGCCGAGGCGGGGATGGCGTGCCCTCTGAATAGGAAGGGAAGGGAGGGGAGGAAGGGGTGAGTGGTGCGAGGTAGGGGTGTGATGCGTGATGCAAGGTGGATAAACCTGGAGGATCCCACGAAAAATGACGACAGGAAGGGAGGGAGGGAGTACGAAGAGAGGGAGGGAGGGAGGGGGACCTACCGCGGTGGATGATTCCCGAACCAGCCTATAAAAGAGACACGGAGGTCCTTCTCCTCGTTGACATAATATCGATTCTCCACGTGCGGTGCTTTGCCTTCCTCTCTGCAGGAGGTAGAGGGGAAAGGAGGGAGGGAAGGAGGGAGGAGGGAAGGGAAAAGGGAGGAGGCAGGTGAGACGCGTCCCTAGGAGGGAAAGAAAAAGGGAGGGAGAGGAACTAAAAAGGAACAGGGGGGGGGGGGCAATCTACCTGTAGCAGTCGCAGACCTCACGAACGCCGAAAAATGCCGACGACCGGCGGTAGAAATCGTTCCACGTCTCTTTCAATCTCGAGGCCCCCTTGAAGGTGAGTGTCTGGGAGAGGAGAGGGCAGGAAAAGAAAGGGGGGGAGAAGAGGGGAATATAAGGATGCATGGAACCAGGCTGTGATCGCGTGCACGACTGCCTCTCCTCGCTCTCTTGCTTCACCTTCTCCTGCGTTGCTTCCCAAGCGCCTTCCTCCAGGTATCTGATCAGGCTCAAGTACTGATACCGTGACAAGCTGTCTCCCATGAAAACCAAATGCTTCCCACGTAAGCATGCGTACGCCTCCTCCCCGCCCTCTCCCCCTCCCTTTGCCCCTCCCTCCCCTTTCCCGCTTGTCAAGCCGTCGAACCCGCGCAGGACGCAGAGAGCATGGCGGGGGGTGTACGTCATGCCGTCTGCCTCGCCCTCCTTCCCTCCCGCC